TATTTTCGTTATTCTAACATACAGTCGAATGGAGAGAGAGTAATTGCATCGCTGAATATTAGGATAAAATATGGCGAGAGAGAACCTATCTATATATAGAGAAATGTTACAAGTTAGTACAGATTCTTTTAATAGATTTTATATAGTCTTATAGAGATTGACTGCTGCCAAAAACAGTTTTTGACAACAGTAAATCACAGGAATTTTTCTGTATACAATCTGGTAAAAAAATATGTACCTGCAGAATATTCCTACACAGATCACATTATCACATTCCTTATCTTATAAAGATGAATTATGACCTAATGTATGCAAACTTTCTCAATGTTTAATTCTTGAAACGTGATCTTCAACAATGGTTTGAACTTGAAATGTTCTTTATTTGTGTTAATTGTAATCTTCATCTGGGCTTTACAGATATCCTCTTGGGCATAATTTGTTGTATCACTTTGTCCTTAAATTGCTTGTTTGGACCTTAGATGCTAAATTTCTCCAACGCCACTCTTTTTTATTTAACATGAAATTCGTAAATATATTTGTATTATCTAATGTTCCAAAAAGTAGTCCTCATTTTATTACACTTTAAATTTAACAAACGATGTAAAAATCAATACAAGAGAAGGGATCGAAATAAATCTAATTACTTCCACAGAATTTTCCGAATGATTATACATTCTATTCATCAATGCCATCTGAATATATTACTCGTTTATAAATCACTTTGCTCTTGTAATCTTAATTAGTGTAAAAGCATATAATATGACTTGAGTCAATTAGACACATACGATCGCATATATAATAAAATAACATGAGACTAGACAAGATAACGAGTAGACACCTTGAAAGCCCTTTTATAAAAATAGTATTGATAAATGATTTATCGAGTAATTGAACGAAGGGGGAAAAAGACAACAAAAAATTTGTTATCACGTGTTCCCCATCTTGATGTCATACGATTCTTGGGGGATTTCAAAAATTTTGACACGTGATTTTCGATTCTTTCATCTTTTCAAGAAGTCAAAAAAAGGGGAAAAGAAAAAAAGGAGTGACATTTTTTATTCAATTTAGAACTACTCACTGACAAAGTGCTCGTGAGAATCTCTATACTTTTGAGTTTGAAAATAAATGGTTAATTTATGAATTAATTAGGTGAAAGTTTACACGCTAATTCTAGTGATTTTATACTAAAAGTTCTATTACATTTATTAATCAAGGTCGATGTGAACCGTGTTTAGATTAGGGTATTTTAAAGGTATATCATATAATCGTAATTTTATATCTAAAAGTTAAAGTTATTTAAGAATGTGATAAATATGTTTTATATCTATTTTATAGTAATCGTAGGATTGCTTACAAACTTGAGTTTCATAAATCTCTGTAAGCCGTCAAACTCGTCGCTCGAATTTATCTATTCTTCGAACACATACTACAAGATGACCTTGTAATTAAAAAAATAATAAAAATGCATTGCTTAATTTACATTCATATAATTAGATTGTATAGAAATTATTCTAAAGTTCAAATCATGTCGATATTTTTTAATCCGAAATAAATCTAAATTATTAATATTCGTATATGCTAACTAATAAGCCATTAATTTTATCATGTGACTTGTCCATGTATTATGTATAACTATCTTTTATCTTGGTCAATGAATATTTTTTAATTTAATTATTTGTAATAAAATATTGTAATAATTAATTATTTGTTTGAATCATTGTGGGACATTATTTGGGTCATGAATAAGAGTCTTACCTTACGCGTGTATCTTAAGATAAACATGCCAAACGATTCTTCAACTTTACTCATAAAATTTGGACCCACTATAATTATTCGAACTACAAAGAATTATGGATCTAGTATTGGTGAAAAGAAAGCTCTCCTAATAAACGATTTAATTTGAATTATTAAGTCATATATCAATTTATTATATGCTATTCTTTTATTCTAAATGGGAATTTTATTCAATTTTGTGAACATGGTATTCATCTTATACAATATTAAAAGATACAAAGCTCGTGTTTAGTAAGAACATGGACGACTCCATTTGCTTCACATTTAACATGAAAATATATGTATAAGAAGACCGCAAGTCTATAGTGTGTGAAGGTTAGGATTACAAATGGTGTTAAATGCATTAATGCAATTGGACTCCACCATCGTAATGTTTATTTGTCTAGTCCTTTGCAAATTTCGAGTCGATTTCCTTTTTGTTAAGATAGAGAAGCATCAAAGGATGCAATGAATAATTTGATTATTGATACTCAACTCACAACAATATTAAATGTTAATGAAAGTTTTATTTTCTTATTTTATTTTCACGGTATAATATTTCTTTCATACTTTGTAAATAAATTATTTTCTCAAATTGGGACCTAACTTTTGACATGGGTCTGTTACTTAAATCATTCTGAAAAAGTAAAGGAAAAACATCATTCATCTCCAACATATCCTCCATGTTATAAGTTCATTCTTGACTTCTATTGGGAGCGTCTTCTCGATCCTTCCAAGTTTATTGCGAATTACTTTTTTCAACCATAAAACTTAAAAATATTATTTATTGTATAATGTTGACATAACATAATCACGTGGATTGGTTTAATAAACTTTCCGCATAATTCTCCAATATTAGTAATGAAGAGATGCTCGATAATGCAATAGACTCACTCTATATATACACACACATACATATTAGGTGTCCTCACCCTCCCAAGCCAAACATATTTCGCACTTTCTCCTTATTTTCTCAGAACCAAAAATCAATGTCAGCAGCAGAAACAGTTCTTAATCTCCTAGATTCTTACTGGTTTGAGTATGGGATTTTCTCACCAAAACCCTCTTTGTGTAAAGTGAGAACAGATCCATTTCTTGAAGTTGATGCAAAACCAAAGCTGAATCGAATCAAAACCCTCATGAAGAAATCTTCCAGTGACCAGTTTTTGAGCTCTAAAGACTGTTCAAATTCTTCAGATTCTTCTTCTCCCAACTCTGTTCTTGTTCCTAAGCTTCAAACTATACTTTCTCGTAAAGAAGTTGAAGTATTTAAACAGAAAAAGCCTTCAAGAACAGAAGAAAATAGGAAGTGCAGGAGGAAGAAAAACAGCAGCAGAAGCTTATCAGAACTTGAATTTGAAGAATTAAAGGGGTTTATGGATCTGGGATTTGTGTTTTCAGATGAAGATAAAGATTCAAATTTGGTTTCAATAATCCCTGGATTGCAAAGACTGGGGGCAAAAGGGGATGGAAAACTGGATGGAAAATGGGAGGAAAAGGGAATGGAGAAATCTGTGAAAGTTTCAAGGCCTTATCTTTCTGAAGCCTGGGATGTTTTGGAAGATGAAAAGAGAGTGAAGAATCGATTGATGATAGATTGGAGAATTCCAGATTTTGGTAACGAAATGGAATTGAAAGATCATCTTAGGTTTTGGGCTCATACTGTTGCTTCAACTGTACGATAATATTTGTCAAAAGTTTGTAAATGTTAAACAAAGAAATATTCTAACAATTAAATGTGCCATGGTTTTGATCTCATTGCTCCTCTTGAAGAATTTTTATTGTTATCTAATTTTTTGGAGCTTTCTGAGATTTCAATTAAGCTGAGTTTTTCGAAGTTTTACGGGATTAGATGACTACAAGTGATAGTTTTGTGACTGCATATTCAATGAAGTATCGAACGAGTGTATGTCGACTTCAAAACACTTTCTTTATGCCAGTCGAATAATAAACGAGTTCTAGAGGCAGACTTGGTTCATATGGATTCTAACACTTAGTGATGCCATGAATTTTATCCAATTTCTCAATCTGGAAGGATTTTCATTTTGTTTAATTTTGGGGAGTTTTTTGAGATTGTTATAATTAGGGGAGATTTTAATGTTTTTACATGGATTAAATGACTTGAATAAGTAGTTTTGTGGTTAAATATATTCAATTTTCCTGGAGTTTTCATGTGATGAACAAAAAAATCGAAGAAAATCATTATCAATTATTTGAGCATATTACATTGACATTGGTGTGATTGAATATGACTTTTTCATTTTTTGTATTATGCTCATTTTACCTTGAGACTTGTGGCATAACCCTTCTAAATACGAGTCAATAGGGAGAATTACAAGGTACACGACAATAATAGTTCAAATGGTCTGTTTGGGTCAAAACTTGCCTAATAAAGAACTTTACTTTCTTCGGAGCATTATAGCTACAACCGTCATTCATTAAGGTTACGGTTGTAATCAGTCATCAACTTCTCTAACCATCTAGCGCTTGATAAGCATCAGCCTACATACACGATCTTATGACTTCGTAGAGAAGTTGATAAAGAGTTCTGCTCTATTGCCCAGGCTTGATTGGATAAATACGTATGAATCATTGAGATTTATTCTTATCTAGTGGATAACCAGTTAGTAGTATAATGGCCACTTAAATGTATTAAAATTCTTACTAAGCATTATTGATTCAGAGACTTTACTAAATTTGATGGTAACAAGCAAGGAATGTGCTCCAAAATGGCTGATGTAATATACCAACTACATCTGGCTAAATACTTAAAAAGAACTCCACTTGGCGTACAAAAGTTTCTTTTACAGACTTTTACAGAATATACACAATAGGGATGGATGGGTATTTTTTTGGTAAAATTTTACTCACATGGGATCCACCTCATGTGAGTATTCTAGTTCCATTCTGTAATACATTATTCTGTACACGCGGAATAATGCTAAAAAAAATAATACAAGCAATCAAGTTGAGCTGATGCACATAAATTGCACAGAATTCCATAAGAGTTGCATCCACTAGCTTATTGTTTAACATTTATATTCAATTTAAAGTAAAATAGCAGATAGGTATGGGTGTCATGACTAGTTTTTGCATTAATGAAGATCCTAGTTGCATCATCAAAAACCATCATTCATCGAGTCTTTGATGACATATTTGGTAGACGATTTGATAACACTCGAAAATAATAAAAAAATGAAAAAAAAAAAAAAAAAAGGAGTTTCGAGTTTTTCTTCACTAGAATATTCCTTTCTTGTGTTTCATTAATCTTGTTCAGTTTTGAACGGTCCAAATTACACATTTGGTAGCTTTTATACAAATTTAGATGTAATACATATTGTAAGAATGCACTTATCACGTCTTCAACAAATTATATTTACATGTATATTGCAAATATTTGTTCACTTGTCCTTGTTAGAGACTGCCTCGGGAAGTTTGTAGGTTGGGGGTTTGTCTGCACCCCTTCTCGAATACTCTCTCCATCTTCGAGCAGCAGCTGCAGCTCGTTGTGCCCTCTCTTTCTTTTCTTCCTCTGCAACAACCATAGAAATTCCGATCACATATAGTTCAATCATAGAAAACTATATTTTGAAACATCTCACTTCAGTTATTTTAGCATCATGCATAAAAAGTCGACAAGAATTTGAAGTATGAACTTCAGTTATTATTGACTTGTCTTTTATTCCATACCGTATTTTAGGTTGACAAATTTGAAACTGAATCCATGAAAAACACCATAAGACGTACATTGTTTTCATTAAATACTAAGGTGGTTCTGTATTAAAACATAGCGTGTCAAACCAAAACCAAGAGATGTTGAACAAGTGCACCTAAAACCAATTAGGTTAAAATCCTTTATGATCGTATCAGCGTACCATATATACTATAAAATATGTCTAAAGATCAACTTATGCCATGTTTTCCAGCGATTAATTTTATTTTGTTTTTTAACAAATTAGGATCCGTCATGAAAATAGAAATTCATCTTTTCCATCTTACCGGTATTTTCATAGTCTTTCACATTGCCCGAAAGGTTGCTCCAATATGATTTGTTTTTATCAGAACCTTTCTGCTTCATCATCCTCACTTTAGCTTGTCGCTGAAATACTTAACATAGTTTTTGTCAAATAATTTGTCAATGATTCCAAAATTTTCAGAAGCAAGCTCAAAACTCGGTATATTCAGTACTATTTTAGTTTAAAGCTCTTACCAAGACTTTGCTTTGTCTTTTTTCCCATCTAGAACTTGCCTGCATCATTTAACAGTAATTCGGATTAAAATGTAAAGCCAAAACATGAAGTAAAATATGTAGTCGTATGTAAAACCACCAAGGTCAAACAATGAACCAGCTCATGTCTGTCTTCTTGTACTTAAGAGTGTGTAAGATCTAGATAGGGAAAATATAAATAAGTGGAATAATAATTAATGTAAAATTGCAAATGTATAAGTGTTTATGCCATATAGCAGCAATTAATAACTACATTACTCAATTTTAGAATCATAATTCGATTTTACTAGGCGCTTAGACAACCAAGGAAACAACCTATGAGCCCAGCGTAAAAGAGGGTTGCCAGTCCGTGACCGTGCCAGCTGAAACATTTTATCATCGGCCTAGTCCAATTACCAACGAGGAAACATTTATCTTTGTGTTTTGAACACTTTAGATCCAGACGGCTTAATGCTGAAATTTCATCATGCAAAATTGGTTAAAGGTTAAAAGAGTCATACCAGGCGGAAGACATCCATGGATGCTGAGCCCATCCCTGAGAGCATCAATGCAACCTATTGAAAAATTAAAAATTATAAAATTAGCAATTTATAAACACATTTATTCGCTGACATCCATGCAGTGTCATAATACAAGCCTTATGATCAATCTACAATAGTATTATCAAACAAGTGAAAGCATAAAAAGATAAATTCTTCCTCTGTTTCAGATAGTTTGCCTGCTTTAAACCCATCTGCTACATGATCGAAGTAGAACTTGCAACACAACAGCATAACGTATTTGTCCGCTAAGGGGTACTAGGATAGCCCATGGGTTTAAATAATCCCTCGACTAAATTTCAAGAGGAAAATTATTCTTACATTAACTCGTTCCACTCTTCGCATTTCATCTTCAAGCAATGAAAGCTGAGGAGCAGAAGTCCAATGAATGCAATCAACTGGACTGAAATGAAGACATATCAGTTATCTAACTGCCAAAACTGCTGAGCATAAACAGAGAAATTTCATACTTAAAACTACAAATTATTAGTGAATCCTTGAAGTTTAAATGAACTCAGTTATTGACCATAAACCTTATATCTTCTGAGGGGCTAATAAGAGTTTATAGATTTAGAGGACCGTTTTTTTTTTTTTTTTTTTTTTTTTTTTTTGTGGGGACAAGTTCTATGCAGTATTTCCACATTGTTCTAGCACTATCTGTGAATAGGATTCACTTAAATAAAGTACAAAAAATGATTTCACAATTGATTTATTACTTTTGGAATGGTTGGCTTATAGACTAAGTATTTAGCTTTACAGAAAAATAAGAAAAAAAGATTCTTTTGAGTTGGGTAATTTATATCTTGGCTTTTCTCAGTTTCGTAAATCAGTTCATTTTTTTTGCAGTTTCAAGACCGAAATGGATTTTCACAACATATTTAGGATTAAGAAAAGCTCTATAAAATCGTACATTATAAGAACATCTTTAAAAGATGAATAGATATGAAGAAGTAGAGATCTTGATAGATTCAGTCAAAAATAAGGTAAATCCACCTGGTGAAAAAATGAAGGGAAATTGTTGTAGAAAGAAGCAGCCAGATGATTTGGCTGACATCACAGCACTTTAAAGCAAATCCGAATAAGACTCATCATGGTGAAACTCAAAAATCAATTAAGATTTGATAGACTTCTTTGAACCCAACAAAAAGAAGCGCTCTGTTTATTAACAGTGAACTTACCAGCTATCAACTGCATCTTGGACTGATTCGAGGTTTCCCAACTGGCTATAAACTCTGGCTCTGCCAAAGTCTTCCTCGATGGCAAAAACATTTGGGCAAACATTGGCACAATTCTTGCAGCCTACTCAGGGAAAAAAAAAAAAAAAGCAAACAGAGAGAGAGATTTCAATCCAAATGTATAGTGACGCAAATGTTATTGACATAACAAAATCCGCTATAATTTTTTGTGGGTGGATTTTCGTTATTAGGATCAGATTGATGGTCCTCAGTTTTTGAAACGATGTAGAAGATGCTTTTGATAAAATTATAACCATAATTGTTATAAGGAAAACCTGATGCCCAATTCAGTTCTTGAGGAGAAATTATCCGTAAAACTTCAGAAATCATTATTTGCTATGCACATTCTGAACTTAAAAGGCTGCAAAAGATATTGAGATAACTTGAATGGAAAACTCTATAGATACCTATGCAGCTAAACTCGTCAACGAATACATGATCCTTCGGGATGGAATCATCCAAAAAAGGGTTGATTGCTGTCAAAGCATACCCGTGTATTTCATCATAAATCATTCGCTGAACAGGATCACTGAGAACCTAAACAAGAAAAAAGTCATTTCATAGCAGAAGCACAACAGGGGATTCAAAACCGATGTCAAGAATGGAACCCACCGTATAAACCTCATTAATAAACATGCAGAAATTAGTGGTCTCTGGATTATTGCCACTCAGGTCGGGATGGCAAGCTTTCATGCAATTATAATATGCTTTCTTAATCTGCTCTGGTGAGGCATCTGGAAGCTGGTAACATAGGCAAGAATTGAATGAGTATCAAAAGTAAAATGGAAGTTACAGAGTAATCCGAATTAGATATGGTTTTATATTTGTGAATAAATAAGCACGTTCTTACATTTAAGTTAGAAACGTGATAATTCAGCATAAGTTTATCTTTCGAACTAAAGTTTGAACATTAAAAGGCTAATCAAATTGTGAGCTCTTACACCCAGAAACAATTTAATGCATCGTAAAACGGTGAAAATTTACTTCTGGACCACAGAATAATGGACCAATCAAACAGTGGCTGCACAAGGAAATAGAGTAAACTCGACTCATTTGTTTTTCCCTGTGACGGTTTACCAACAGGTGGAAATCGCTTATGGAACACCAATGAATCAGTCCACCACAGGCTGAATGAGCATCAAATTCCCCTTAATTAAAAAGATTATTCATTTGCTTTACCCCTGTTATTAGAGTAGTGATATTTCTGAAAAAGCCAATGCACGATAATACAACAACTTCAATTCTTTCTCAATTCTCAACGATCATATTATATTTATCCTAATTTATTACATAAAAAAAAAAAAAAACCGACATTTCTAAGTTAATTGCATATCTATGCTATTCTCTACATATGCAGTCTTCTCCAAATGGGAAGACTCACATTAATGTCTTCCATAAGATAAGAGCCTCCCAATAGTTTTTCTATATGTTTTTACTCAAGACATAATATTTTCCAAAATATTATAATTATCAAATAGGTACTAAGATAGTCCTAGGTCGTTATTGTCGGGCCTCTTCTTTGGACTTAATTACTATACTCTTCTTTCGCCACAAATTTACCTTCCTCACAAAGCTGGAGGGGCGGGGCAGTGGGACCCTCAAGGTTGGGCTTCAACCTTTTCTTTCTTTTATATATATATAACTATTCAAGAGTATCCTTGGAACGTTTCCGAGTCTCATCCCTTTTAGCGTACTACAATTTCAAACTTGTTATGGCTAGTTCCTAATTTTCCACATAATTACAAAAGTTCATTCTCAATTTTTTCTTCTTCTTTTTTTTTTTTTTTCTCTAAAGATGAAAGACAGAAATTCTATTTTCTCGCCTATAGACTACGGCGATTCAAATTTTACTAATCTCTTCATATAATCTATCCTTATGAACTAAATTTTTGACACTTCATAATTGGTGTAGCTTGTTACATGCGTCAGACCTCGGATTGTAAACAACCAAGGAATGCAATAAATGCACAGAAGAGAGACGATCTCTACATAATACAGAAACCACATATTACCCATTAGCTAAATTATATTTGTGAAAACATTAATTTATGCACAAGAAGCAGGAAATTTGAGATATTACCAGACCCAAAACAGAATAATAATCATCAGCAATCTCTTCATATGATTCTGAGTACTGGGAAGCAACTCTGACTCGGCCCAATTTTTTTCTTCTACCATGATTACTCCAATTCACACGAAACAAGGGCAGTCTATTTCTTGAACTGAAACCCTGTACAGGAAACTTAAATTTGAGAGTATTTGTACACACTGGTGACAGCAATTGAGCCATCACCAAAAAGAATCAAAACTAAAACTGGTTCAAGAATTGGAAATAATTGCCGATATTTTCTGTGTTTAATTAATGGAAGTTTCTTGATTTATAAGGGGGGAGAAAATTAAGAGTAGAAAAATGAAAATGGGAAAATGCTGAGTTGGCGAAATACGGACCATTTGTTTACCAAGAATCTTGAGTGAACTATGAATGTCGACAAAGAAGTGTGTGATGGGAGTGCATGGATTTCCGGGGAAAGCTCGTGTCCTTATTGTGGGTAGTTATGCTGTGCACGCTTCGGGCGTTAGCATTAGAATTTTGTTGGCATTTGCTTTATTGCGTAATTGATCCAATCTTCTTTGACAATCATGAAATGTACAATTAAAAAATGAATAAATTTTTTTGAATTTTACGAAGTATGTATTTAATGATATTTGATTAACTTAAATTATAATCGAAGTTGTGATAAGTGTATTTTACACATTTAAAGTATTTATTGGTTATTTTGATAAATTATGGTTTAATTCTATATGTAATGTGTTTGTTAGGTACAAATCGACGAAAATGACAAAATTGGAGAAAAATGACTCAATTTCAAAAAAATTCAAAGTTTAGGACCAAAGCTTAAATATCCAATAGTTGATTTTGATCATATTATGATGATTGAAGATAAGATAGGATCAATTGGATACAATGAGAAGTCAGAGTAGTGAATTATAGTGTATTTTTACAAATCAATTTCCAACCGCACCAATTGTGCATCACATTTTTACTTTTAGAGTCTGTTTGATTGACATAGAAATTAGATTGAGACCTATTTTTGACAAAGCAAATATTCAAATTAAAAGAAGAGGAAGATATTTTAGGAAAATGGTAGCCTTTTTAATTAACTTTTCAATATAATTTGAATCGCTCCAATTACAAGAGAAATTGGCAATATGAGCAACTTGATGTGGCCAGAAATGGAAGCCGAGTTCACAGGAAAAAATTTCGACACATTGAGTCAATCAAGGAAGTTGCAACTGTTGTCATTTGATGACAATAAATTGCACGGGTCAATTTCCAGTAGCCTTTGCAATTCGGTAAATCTTAATCTCCTAGATATGGAGAAAAATCAACTCTCTGAACAACTGCCAACTTGTCTAGGAAATCTTATTTCATTACAAAATTTTTATTTACATTTCAACTCATTGACTTCAACCATCCCATTGACAGTATGAACTAATAATGGACTTGTCATTTAATTTTCACAATGGTTCGCTTGCTCCAGTAATTGGCAGTGTGACGGGGATGAGTGAGCTATATCTATCAGGAAAATAGTTCTAAGGTGAGATTCCAAGCACTATTGGGAAACTTTAGAATTTGATAGACATCACATTCACACTAAACACCCCATTAAAAGGCAAAGGCCTTCGGTTAAAAAAAAGGTTCGACGATTGTTTGGGCGAACTTCGTTGGTGGAGAAAACTCTTCGAGCTTCCCTTTCATTCTTTGAAGCACATCGAGCGGGAATCGAAAGTTTATCATGCACTACACCAAATTTTCATTTGGAGGAAGCTCTTTGGTTAGTTGGAGCTTGGGATGCCCCCATTGAAGGCGATGGAAGTTCCGACGATCATGTCAACGGTCGAAAAAAGAAAAAGAGAGTGCAAGAAGGGACGGGGGGGATTCGGCTAGGGTTAGAAAATATACTTTTGTGTGAAATGAAATCACATATATATAGAGAAATGGAAGTGGGACAAATGAGTTTAGTGAAATGGGCCCAAGTTCAATGCAATTGTTTAATTAAATGAGTCCAATCAATTAAATATACGATGCCACGTCGGTTAATGTGGGACCCCCGGTCACGCATATGCCACGTAATATATAGGTATAATAATAGTCCCCCAAGTCTAAGCTGTACATTCATGTGCGAGTTGGACTTTGGAATAAAGGTAGTCAATTAGGATAGGTCTTACAGATCATCTTAAGTAACTCCAATAAATGAGGACTTATGAACTCTCCCGAAAATATGCATTGGTCTCAGATAGTGAGGACTTGCAAACGTCCTCAAGAATATAAACCACTCCAATAAGTGAAGATTTTTGAACTACCTCAAAAAATATATGTGCTAGCCTGAATAAGCGATGACTTGCAAATTGCTTTCAAAGATAGATACTGAATATAAATTTTCAAAATTTTGACAGCATCTCCTCTGTAATATAAACTAAACCCACTTGTAATACAACATAATATCTCCACTGCACATATATAAAATAAATTGGGATCTAGTTGCCCATCCAAATAATGACAATAAAAAGTAGTGATGTTTAAATTTCTCCAAAATATAATGTGTAGAAGGTCAATCACGTATCATAGTAAATCATATGCTTGTACAACTTAGTGTAGCAGTATTGCTAATGTGAAGCAAGTAACATGCTAACTATAATAAAATAATAGTATGGATAATGTGGCACACGTATTGGTTGTGGTGAAAATTGTGTTACGACATACTGGCAATTATGTGGCATGCATGCTTGGCAGCAATAATATAATGCATATGTTAGTAGTAATAATGTAATGATACTAAGATATTAGATACTAGTATCACAACTACTAAACAAAAGAAAACAACATTTAACCATGATGATTCACCCTCAAAACTTAAAACATACATTGTTACCAATGTTAAAATAAATACAAATGAGGGTTAGGATTTCCTTGAGTACATTAATTTATGTCATTGCCATCACCCTAGTGAGGTGGATATGGATTGGCTTTCTAATTACATTGTTGCCCACAAACTTGAGAATCTTCCTACAAGCAACACAACGAGAATGTTACGACAATAAAATAAACAATCCTGAAACTAAAAACTAAGTAATAAGAAAGTGACAGAGTTTAGATTGCCTCCCAAGAAGTACCTCTTTAAAGTTATTTGCTCGACATTTTACCATGATTGATAATGGTGGCTCGAACCAAGTTATTCCATCCTTACATTTTGAACAATTTTCATTAATACACCTTTTATTTTCTCTCCAAATTTTGATATTTCCATTTGCATCTCTACCAAGAAGTCTACCAAAGTTTGATTTTCTTTTTTGACATTTTGTTGATCAGGTGGCTAATCTTCATAAATTCTACAACAAGCTTTGATGTTGGGAGGTTGCTCATATTGGGTACAGTTATTGAATATTTCTTGCTTGTCCTCCATCTTCAACATTAGTAACCATTCTCCATGTCAATTAGGTTCGAGTTGTTGCTAAGAATGGCTGACCCAATATAACTGGAATATCTCAATCTTTTGATATGTCCTACACAATGAAGTTTGCAGGAAATATTAATTTTTTTTTTTTTTTTACTCTTATGAGTATATCCTCAACTTTACCACGTGGCCTTAAAATTGTTTTATAAGCTAGTTGTAGCATTATTAATATTGATTTAACAATAGGTTTATACTAGCACCCGTGTCAAACAATGCATTAATAGAACAAGAATTTCCAATTGAAAGTGGTAAAGTAAAACTCCTTGGATCTTTCGACTTGGTAGGCAAGCAATTTTTTTTGGTACTCTTGTACCACTTTTATCCGCTAATGCCACAATTTCAAACTCCAAAAGTTTAATTTTCTTTGTCAATATCTCTTTCAAAAATTTTGTGTAACTTGAAATTTGTAATATTGTATCAATCAATGGAATATTGATCTGGAGCTTCGTGAGAACATCAAGAAATTCTTCAAATTTTGTGTCTCTTATATATTCCTCTCGAGCGTTTGAAGAAAAGGAATGGGAGGCATGTAAGTTATGATACCTCTAATGCTTGGACTCTTCGAAATGGTTGAAATACCCATGTCGGACACAACACGACATGGGTATGGGTATGGAATATGTGTCGAATCCTCTAAGTTTCAACCGGACACTTCGTCTTTTTTGCTTCTTCTTTCTTTTTTTCTTTTCCATTTCTTTCCATTTCTACTCTCTATAAACCTAACACCGCCTCCAAGAGGATGAAGAAAGGCAACGACACTAGATTTTTCCATCTTATTCTTTCTTTCGTCCTTCTTCCCTCTCTATATTGGTGATTTAGGGTTTTGTTTGTATAAAATAAAAATGAGTTCCATATAATACTACTTAGTGCTCCACTAAATTCAAATTGCAATTAAGTCCCTCATTTTTTATTTTATATAACATTTTAAAAATAAATGCAAAATTCTATTTTATTCGTCTTAACCCCTTATTCAATATTATTTCCTTCTTTGTGAATAATTGATTTTGGTCTATTCAAAATAATATCTTGAGTTAGTAAAAAAATTGAAGTTTGAAAGACGTACTCATGTACCCGTATCCAAAATTTAGACTCTTTTTAGCTATATCGTTGCATCCTACATTTAAAAAAAATAGAAGATTTGCCACTTTAATACGTACCCATAGCCGATACATATACCCAAGTTCAAGCATCATAGGTCATAACTGGGCTTGGTGCCTTGGTAGTAGATGTTCCTGTACTTTCTTTATTCTTAATTGAAGTTGGTGCAAATTTTTCTTCCATTGTAGCTTCATCAACCTCTTCCTGGCCATTTTTTCTATCTGCTCTTTTCATAGTAATCTCTAGTAATTGTATCCCATTCTTTGTAATTATATCTTAAATATTTTCCTCCATCGACTTCTTTCGAAGTCTTTGGAAAAATGGAAGTGAAAGTACATATGCTTTAACATTTTTGAGAGTCCCAGTTGGATCATTTTCACTACTCTTATTGCCATCACCTACTCCTTAGGATTTGTCATTGTATTGCTTAGCAATGAACCCTATAGACGTTCTACAATTTGTTGAGTTATCTGATCAATTTGTGTCTCTAATTTTTTTTATAGATGCTTGCTGATTCTAAAGATTTATGTCAACTTGCTAGAACCTGTCTACCTTTTGTATGTACTGATTGAACATTTTCCCCAAACTTGGCTTTTTTTTTTGCTGGACATTATTTGAATTATTCACTTACTGGTTATCTAACCATCTGAAGTTTGGGTGCTGTCTTTATCTTGGGTTATATGTTTGTGATTTCACTAGTGAATCTACTTGTTTTGTTAAAGTTGATATTTGTGCAATGGTAGATACTGTGTTGTGTAATTCATATATTCCAACTACTTTCTGTGGCACCATTTTTCTAATGAAAATATTGAATGTGTTGTGGTAAATTCATGCATTGCTATACTGATTT